AGTATTAGCTAGTTAATGTGTTACACCACAGTAAATCTGTCAAATAATTAAATCACCTTAATTTTACATAATGATCAAGAAAGATGTACTTGCAGATTAAAGTGATGTTTGAAGATTCCATACCATCCTCTTTCTGCATTAAAATCTTTATGAGAGAAAGGCCTCATTGAGGGTTAGTATAACATATAATGTCACATGCCATCTCATGCTGACCACAAAAATAACTCAAGGCGCCACTGTGCTGCAATTAGCAGCTGTAAGATTATGATGTTTTGACACAGGTGAGGCAAAAACTTCTAAGCACAAAGTGAATATGAGTTACACAACAATTTCCTCACAAAAATACCACATATTATTTATATACAAAACACAAAAAAAGAAGGACTTTTTCTCAGAAAACTGAAACTCAGTTCTGCCACCAGTTAATTTGCAATGTAACAGCAGAATTTGGCCACTGTTATTGAAGGATTTCTACTAGTCTACTTGCCTTCTGAGTAAACAGGCTTGTGTCTGCTGCTCTGCCTCATTGGAAGGTATCAGTTATGGTATAAGAAGATTAAATACCAGCGCTTGCTTTTGTGCCACTATCTTTTATAATTACGAGGTAGACTTCATCCCCCATTATTCCCCAAGTAGCATTTTACTCTGAGTGGTGTGGCTGAAGATACACTGGACTACTTATGAAGTAGGATACTGTATATTTGAAAATAATAATCACGGAGCTCTATGTTTTCTTTGCTTGGTAAAAGGGCATCTTATAGATATCAAGAAATTATTTTTTATGATAGCTGTTTGAGAAGTGACTAGTGTATAGACCGTACAGCTTTTGAAATGTAATTTGGGAGCAGATCATTGTGTTAAGCATGTATAAAGTAGCATTAGATGGTATTCTCATTCTTCCTTCCTGTTCATGTCTGTTTTGCAAGATTTGTCATTTACCCCTTCCCTAGCATTTGTTGGTTTTTAAAAAAGCTGGAATTTTTATGGCTATAGTAAATAGTACATAGGGCTAATACTGCAGAAGTGTTACTTCTATAGTAAAAGCCTCTACACATGTCTAGGAGCATTTCCATCGTGCACAAAGTAAACGCAATTTCAGCTTGTCCTGCTCCACAGACCTCCACAAGATGTTTGTCACCTGAGTTCTGCAGGAAGAGAAATGCCCCTGTTGGAGATGTGTTTCCCTGGAGGTGATGCCTGGATATGGGGACTCTGTCCCCCATGTGCTACACTTGATGTTCAGGAGGCCTGGGCCTGGCCTGACCCTTCTGTGTGCAGTTTTCTTGGCCAAAAGAAAGGGAGGTATCACAGTCCTGTAGTCTTAGTCTCAGAGGTGGTTCACAGGAGGGAGGGCATCTGCATTGTGCTCCTCAGCGTGAAATAACCCAAGCTCTCACTGGGAGCAGGGGATGAAGTTGGAACATTAAAACCTCCCCTCAGCATTGCTACCAATGAATTGAGTTGCCCTAAATGATCTTGTTTAATTTGAAAGTTTTGCTGAACTTTTCTGTTAAGCAGGAAAGACTGCAAAAGTAAAACCTGCAGAGCCAAGAGCTCTGCTGTTGGGCAGCAAAATGGGAGATGCTGACCTGGCTGGATGGCTCCAGGCTCAATTTTTGGTTTCTAAAAAAGGAATAATAACAATTCTTTGTCTCACAGAGGTATCATGAGCTTAGATATGCTAATATTTTTGAGGTGCTTGTATTATGTGGTGGGGGGGAGAGAGGGTAATACTGTAGTGTGACCTCTGTCCTCCCTCTCTGCCTGCTTTCATCTACATAAATGAGCACATACATAACCACACAAATATACCTATCCAGATAAAAGTCTGCATCAGCTTTGGTCATGTTTAATTCTCTAAAATGTTTTAGAGTTTTGGGGGGGTTATTTTGCACATGATGGGGGTTTCCATTAAAGTGAATGAATGAATGAAACTCTATACTTCAGTGGCATTGGTAGGCGGGGTGTTAGAGAAAGGTAAAGTGTACATAAAACTGGATAACGTCACCTGCTGCTCCCCATCATGCAACTTAAGATATGTACAGGAATTTACAAGGTACAAATGTTCTGCTTTGTGACTACTGAATTTCACGGTTGCATATTTGCCACTTGTGAATTTGTAACTGGATATTAGTAATTTCCAAATGGCTGGGATGTTTGTGCACACAAAGTATTTGAAAAAGTGTAGTAAATATGAGATAACCTGTGTGTTCACTGTAGAGAGCAAAAAAGGAAACAGAAATGCTAAGAAAAGTCATAGAGTAAGCTACTAAACTAGAATAACAACATTAAATATGCAAGCATGAGCTAATATGATCCTGAAAATATTCCCATATAGATAGAATACATTAGAATAGAAACAGCTATATATTAGAGGTTTGTGGACAAGATGGTTTAAGTGCAATTGCCATTAGAAGCTATTGCTAGGGTAAAACACAACTTTTATTTGATCCCCTCATGCTACTTTATGCAAAAAAGGATGAGATCCAGCCTGTCAGTGGTACTGGGTTTATGCAGCAACACGTGAGAAGTTTGCAGAACTAAAATAATCCCTGATTTCATTCATCTCTTCTGAAATGTCTCAAGTGTCACTTTTATAGGAGACGTTTTCTTCCAAAAATATAAAACTTTATCCTGGTCCTAAGTATTAGCTGACCAGAACATACCATATCACAGTTTCCATGTCATATAGTGTCATGCAGTGACTGAAGCACTTCCCCTCCCTAACCTCCCATTACTATGAAAGTGTTAGAAACTTTTTTATTTTGTGTTTTCTTAACATGTAACGCATTAAGGTTCGTGCCTCTGCCTGGGTATCCCTAAACCTATTATCCAATCCTGTCCTAATTTTCCTATTTTGATATTATATTATGTCACCTCTTATTATAATATTCTTGATCATATCTTGTAAATGGAAGGATAGAAAAAAGGCAAAATTGACAATTAATTATGTAAAGTTTTAACCAACATTAAAAACCAGCTATTAAAATTTCTAAAATTAAGGTTTTTCTAAGACATAGTTTTCTAAAACAGATATAATTGTTTTGCTTAGCAATATTATGGTATTAAAAAAAAAAAATCCCAATTCAGAAGGAAAATTAATTTGCATGTTAAAAGAAAAGTTCCATTAAAAATTAACTATAAAAATATGCATACAGTACAATGTATTCATGATGTATGGCAAAAGCCTATAATTATCTGCTTCTGGTGATGTTTGTAAATAATGACTGAACCAATGATTAACAGAGGGAGGTGCTAATTTCCCCTTTCCTTTATTGTTACCAAACTTCCTTTTGCACCTTCGGGTTAGGAAGCTTACCCTTTTTCATTAAGGCCTTTTGTTTGTGATCTGCTGCCAAATTCATCTGTATGCATTGTTTTCAGTAATATTGAGAGTTGTACCTTCCAGGAGTCTTTGGCACTGCATGATGAAGCGCTCTATTTATATTAAAATGAAGAAGTTCCTAAGGGAGACATAGAACAGAATGAAACAACGAACAGAGCTTTAGAGACTAGATATGCGAAGTGACAGTGACAGCAAAATGGTAGCTCTTGTTGCGAAGTGGCCCAAAGGACTGCAGAAAGACTTATAGCATGCGCCACACCGGCTTGAACTTGGCAGCTCTTACAGGCTTAAGCACTTGCTATGAGAAGATGTTTTACAAGATGGAAGTTAATCAAACAATTTCTCAAGATTGCACCTCTTGGTTTGGGATGTCATTGACATAACACGTTGTGTGAGGCTTTGCTATATATAAATTAGAGGAATTATTTTAACACTGAACCATATTTCTTCATTTAAATCAACTCACAACTATATTGCTGTTGTTATGATTTACTTAGTCCAGATAATAGAAAAAACAAGACAAAGATGTTACATTATATGGCAACTAATGCCCTACTGCTTTCAGCTCGAGGGAAGGGAGAAAGTGAATTAAGCTGCTACTGAAATGTGCCCTGCAGGTCAATTTGAATCGGATAAGAGTGCTATAAAGTGGTTTACTGTGGTGGGAGACAGCCGTTGTTAAATTGGCTAGAGGACTGTCTCAGACTGACCATGATAAGGGAAGCAGTGAGGCTACTATACTCTCTTCTGATGATACAAGCAATCCACCTGGCCATCCTGAGGTATTGGGTATGGGAAGAGTGAAAGTGTGGGAATTATTAAAGGTGAATTTCAAAGAAAAATAATAATTCACAATAAATTTGTAGAGTGGGGACTAAAGATCAGGTATAATTTTTTGAAGGGAAAAGATGAGATAGAGGAGGCAGGAGAAGGCACTGCAAATTGCTGTTTTCTTTGCACCTCAAGGCCCTGTCTGAGCCAAAAGAACATTGGAGGTGGGGGGATGTGGCGCTACCAGGAGGGGAGAGTTCAGTCTGAACATCTGCAAAGGGAATGGCCATTTATCTGTTTCTGTTTTCATCATGTGATATTTGACTTCAGTGTATAATTCATGTTTTATATAAAGGAAATATTTGCTGAATAACCTGTCCTTTCTCAGGTCACCAATTAGCGAGTTACAACTTCCCACTGAGTACCAGAGGGAGAGCCTGAGCTTCATACTTGTTACAGTGCAAATGGGAGGCAGGCTACACTTTGACATTCCCCAGTCATTATAGCATACATTTAAGGACCTTATTTTCAGTTTCAACATCTGCTACAAAAAGAGGGCACCATCTATTGGAAATAAATAAAGTGGTAGTCAGATACCTTAATGAGCAAACTTGTTCGGGAAAAAATTAATTGTTCCCCGTGGATAAGACCTGCAGATGCTGATAGCACTGGTAAGGAGGAGAGATCACCTTTTACAATGCAAAATCATAATTTATCCTACTCCTAGCCCACAGGAAGTCAAACCCAGAACATATCCTTCATGTCTTCAGTTTTTGAAAATCATTACTATAAAAAACAATTTAAACAAATTTGAAACATTTTTTTGTTTTAAACATTTGAAACACTTTTCATCTTTTAAATTGATCTTTAACATTTTTTTTAATATATAAGAATAAATACTGGGAAGGGAGAATACAATGATAGTGGAGAGGAAGATTTGGGTATTCATTTCCAAATAAGAGAGTATGGGGTTTTTTTTGTTTCCTTTGCTATCAAGAACAGGAGAGTTAAGAGGAGATTCAGGACTGTGTGAACTCTGTGCAGGGGTAGCTCTGCAAATTTTCCATGAATGGCAGAGTTTGAAGGAAATCACCTTCTCCAAAAGGGCTTTTCTCCTTATGGATTTTGAGCTCCGGGTATGGAATATGTGCACAATTTTTAAAAAGTGCTATATTTCATCATGATTTCCAAACCTTTATAGTAAACCATTAGCCTTTCTCTCTTGATCCCACTCTTCACCCAAAATCTGACTGCATTTAATGTTAATATGCTACCATTTGTTAACAGATCGCATGTGAAAGACTTGAGTCTTTTTTCATATATCAGCAAGTCCAGAGTGTGTATTTGTCTCCACTCCTTAAGATCTCTGCTAAGTCACCTGAGCTGCGTTTCTCATGTCACTGTCTTTGAAACATCTACCTTCAACATACCTGGGGACAGTGAAAGTAAAAATTCAGAGAATGGCAGTGCTGTCGGACTTTTCCTTCTGGCAAAGCATTGTGGAAGAGGTAATGGTTTATTTTCACATATTTACAGATTTTTGTCCACATAAGTACATTTGCTACTTTGTACATAAGCTACTTTGGATGTCTTGTTACATGCCCTTGTGTCCTTAACCTGTTTTGGCTGCAGTACAAGTTTAATTTCTCTGGCATCCATTTCTGGGTGGTTTGTTTTTTTATAGAACTAACACCTCTGTCAATGAAACAGACATCAAGTATAAAATATTTATTTCAGAAGAGATTAGGGAAGGTAATTTATCAATGAGGTTACTGCCTGTGTAGAGTCAGACAGATGTAGAAATTAAAAGGGAAAAAAGTATTAATGTGTTATTCTGGTTACAATGACTTCTCAAGGATGGTTACAGGGCTTTAAAACACCAAGTGTTAAAAAGCAGAATATCACATCCCTGTTGATGCAATCTTGGGTTAATTCTTCAGAGTTCATGGTGCCGCTAATTCAGCTAACAGGAAAAATACTGTGAGATGTGCTTTTTGTGACCTGTGTCTGTGAACTCGACCAGAACTTAGCACAAGACTCCCACCCCTCCAGAATATCCATACTGAGCAAACAAACCTCCCCCTTTTAAATTTCAGCTAACCTGTTCTGTTCTGCATGCTTATCGTCATGCCAGGGACAATGGTTTAGAGACTTTTGGAGGTTTAATCAAGGGGTCTGTAAAAATCAGTTGGAAACAGAATGCTTCATTGTGATTAAAATGCTTGAGACAGTGGCATTAAGTGTAAAGGACAGTATGTAACAACAACTACATGTTATTGGTTGGACCTTTTGCTAATGTAAATTCAAATAACTGTGTTTGAGGCCATGTTTCTTTAAGTCACTCTGTAAAGATTTCAAGTAAGAGAGATCAATTTTAATTAAGCGCATTTTAGAGATCATATAAAAGTAGAAAGAAAAAAATACCATATTTTTTTACCAGCAGGTTATTGAATATATTGCAGAAGATTAATGTCCTGCATTTGTTAAATAGGCTATTTTAATGATGTTATAGAATTTGGAATTAACAAAGATCAGGAAAAAGCTATTTTTTATCTGAGAAAAATTACAAGAATAAAAAAAATCAAAGGTATATATTAAATTCAGAGCCAGACATAAAGCTATGTTTGATGATAACTGCTGCAGCAAATATTTTTCAATGAAATAATTTTTTTTTTAAACTTGCTAATTTAAAACAGTTTAACTAAACTATATTTTCAGTAGACAGTAGAAATATGTGGATGTCAAAACAGTAGTTTCTTCCAGACTGGCTCTGCAGTTCAGTATAACTGTGAGATTTTATATATTGTTTTATCATTTTTTATCTGCTGCAGTTATTCCACCAATAAAAATGATTTTTCTTTTCCTGAATAGAGTATAGCATGACACCAAAAATCACTGAGAAGAAAAAAAAGACACTCCCATTGTGTAAAATGCATTTTCAAAAAAAGAAAGAAAGGAGAAATAAACCCAATAGGAACCATAAATTAGCCACATACAGCATGCAAAGGGCAACAGGTTGAACAGTCACTTCTATTTCTGTATAGCCGCGTGCTTGAGTACTTCATTACTCTGTGTCCATGGAAATGGATCATCCCAGGTTTCTCTCTCTGTGGGTTTATTAATGACTTTGCTGCCTCAGTGGTCTTGGAAGTGGATGATGGAACATGTCTTCTAGCATGTGGACACCAGCTGTCCTTGTCCTTCCTTCTCACTTGAAGCGTCTCATGTCAGCTTACTGCAACTGCCTTACAAAGCTCAGCTCAGAATTCCTTGAGCCTCTGCATCTTCCTTTTGCTTTCTGGATCGTGTCTATGGTCAAAGTTTTTTGTGGGTGACAACTGAAGTGTAGAGGAGGGTCCTTGCTTGCTGAAGGAGAACCTTTTATTATTATTCTTCTGTACTACGTTACAAAATATGCAATTAGTAAACATCAAAAGAAAGGCAGTTTTCAGCATAGGAAAAGTTGCAAGAATGGAAAAAAATCCATGACATACAAGGTTAACACACTTCCTCTGGAAAGAAGAAGAATTCAACACACTTTGATTCATCTGTTTTTTAATTGCTGCTGTAATCATTGGACATTATATATATAGCTATACTGAACAGTCTGGTCACTAAGGGTCACTAGGTTAAGGCAATGTTTTTTCCATGTTTTGAGGAAGCCGTGTTTATTATAGTGTTAGTAGATATGCTCATGTAACTATATTTTGATTAAAGATTTATCATATTGTTTTCTCAGAAGATCTGAAACTGAGATAGATACTGTATGTGATGACAGGCCAAGCTTGCCTCTTCACTATAAACAATCACTGTAAGAAAATTAAGGTGCAAAACCATGCCTGCTGTAATTGTTGCATACTTATTAGAAGCTTTCCCTTTCCAGATTCTCTAGGTATTTGTTGCCCATGATAATGTGAATACTTAAGGGGAAACTGTAATTAGTGACTGTGTAGTTCATTCAGTAAACATTTCTGAGCTGTTTGATGTGACTGAACTGAGCGTCACATATAATTTTACACTTTTATCTTACCAGGCAACTGACAGGTCTCTAATCTCAGTCTCAGAGCTTTCACTCTGCTTGAACTTTGCTTCATAGAGGTCATTTTCCAACCACTTGGGAGCAGAAGCCACGTCCATTAAATCCCACAGAGTCGATAGATGCAATAATAGCTTTAGGCACATTTTCTTAGAACTAGAGGGGGGAAAGACAATTTCAATAAATGTAAAGCTATACTATCTACAATCCACAGAATATGTAAGCAATTCTCATAGGAGCACATCTTTCTTTTACCTCCTGGCAAGAATCTCTTTAATAATAACATGTACTTGTTTGTTTTCATTATCAACACTTATAACAGCAGAAAAGTCATTCATGATGCTTTAAGAAGACAATAAAGAGGAGAAGAATGCACAAGGTGAAATGATCAGCAAAATATTCCCTCAGGTTTGGATTTGCAGACTATTAAATAATCTAATACATATTTCCTCTCTCAGAGAAAGGTAGATGGTAATAGGGGTGCGCATGGTGGTCTGACCATCATATTGGAAATACAAAGGCAAGTATTAACTCAACATACAAACTATGGGTAGACACTGTAAGTAGAGACACTGTAAACAGAGACAAAACATCTATAAATACATGCCGCTAGCATGCTAACAGGCTTGTACACATTATTCTTTGGTATATTTTACAGTATATAGATCAAAACTCATCGAAACAAGATTTCAGGTTGTATCTGTCAAGATAATTAGCAATTTCTCTGTAGCAGATGTCTGAGAAGGAAGGACAGTTCTTCCCTTGACATTGCATCAGAAGAGAAATAACTATTATTAAAATAAAATAATGTTTGTTATTTCAGTTTGATCGAGGCTGCCTAACATAAAAATTACCCCCCAGTGATAGAACAAACAATCCCTGTTTGACTGTCAAACTCTCATGCAGAGATAGAAAATAAACTTTCTAATTCTTTCAACATTTTTACTATTGTCTTTAATTTTTTTTTCTCCTTGCTATATTTGTGGTGCAAAGGTATAAATCTTGAAAGTAAAGTATCCCCTCCAGCAAAATATTTTACTCCATTTTCCTTGGAGAATTCCACTGCAGGGGAGAGAAAAGGAAGCAAAAAAAGAGCTTTGCAGAGTAGCTGGAACAGATTCAAATTCAATAGCCTATGAGATTTTCCTTTCTAAATATAACAGTTCAATAGATCAGTGGTCAATCTGAATGTTATCTGCAAGCTGGAGCTATTAATTGCTGCACCACTGTTCCAGATGCCAAATGATAGCCTAATGTTTTATATGCCAGCATTCTCACACGTACATTCAAACAAACATTAGGCAAAGACAATTCAGCAAGTGGTGCTGGTGTTCCTATGGTAAAAACAGCTGCTAAATCACAGTACAGACTGTTTAATTTTTTTTGTTTTTCTTTATTTAAAAGGTCTTTTGACAAATGGTCACCCTGAATGGAAGAATGTTTCTGACATTGAGGTGAGAATTTGTACAGCTTCTTGACTTTTTGACAAAGGTGGGAGAAACAAGACAGAAAATTATGCTTTAGAATAACTCAACTCGATTCAAAACTCATAGTAAGACATGGCACATGTAATGAGGTAGCAAAAAGTTGAAAGCTTACAGCAAATAAAATTTGAAATGGAAAGCGTATTAGGCCCTGGGAGAAGACCATGAATTAACAGCTGACCCTGGCTGCAGTGGCTGCTCCAGCAGAGGCAGTGCTGGGAGAAGCTGTGCTCCATTTCAAGCTCCCAGTCAGGCTGGGGCTGGTGCAGGGGATGCAGCAGGGCTGTGACCTGGCGTGCCGCATGGCCACCTGAGACCTGCCAGTAGCAGAAAAGGGAGGTGAGCTCCTTTGCTGACTCTCAGAGGTGACAGGCATGTGGGAGGACATAGTGTACAGCATTTACAAGTCTAGAAGGTGCACCCCTGTCTTCATCTGTGAACCCTTATTTTGGAAAGTAGCAGCCTGCATGTGTTGCAGCATCTGCAAGTGACAGGTAACAGAGCTGACCCACCGACCACATCACATTTTCCCACTGTTGGTGTTTAGGCTGTGGGCTGCTGCCCTGCTAGGTCCTGGTTTAAAATACATTTTAAAATACTTGACCTCCCTTCTTATTTCTGGTCACCATTCTGAGTACCCGTTCCTATGCACAGTTTACACTCCTTGGGAAGAGTTATCTTCATCCTAATGCTAGCATTTGCTCTTGCGAGTTCATTTATGGCTACCCAATAACTAAAGGCCACCGAGAGTTGTGTCAGATGTTTCAGACTTGAGCATAACACAGAAAGTCTAAACACAGCAGTCAGTGTGTACAGCCCACCATGTCACTGGGTTATTTTGCACCTTCAGATGTATTGCATAAAAATCTGTAGAAGCAGGTCTGCAATTTTTTTCCTGTAAACAATGCAGAGAGACATTTTTACTTTATCCCACATCTCTAAGCAAGAAAAGTCAATCACATCCTCCAGAAATCCACTGAGTTGAGCTTATCTGAGTGCAAGGTGCTAACCTGTTGGGCCATGTGCTTGAAATTAATACTTCCTTGGGGAACCAAGGCTGGACAGCTAGTTCTGAGATACGATTTGGCTCAATACTCTTACTTTATGTGTTTCAGTGGTGCTTAAGAACCTAGAGAAAACTTCTGGAGAAAACATCAGAAAATTGCTGTGAGTAGAGGGAAAACAGTCAAAGAAACCAATTAAGGAGAGGAAAAGAGCTCAAAAGGTTCGCTCCCAGTTGTACTGAAGTTGGTTATTCTGTTTTGAATCACGGCTGCTGAGCTGATTTTTTCTATTACGATATTTGTGGTTGCAGTCAGGCCAGAAGTGCATATTCGCACTCAGAGGACCTTATCCTTGTCTTTATTTCTATCTTTTGAGTGACGACTTCATTTAAGCAAACTGCCACCTCTACGTCATTACCCTGGATCTGTTTTCTTCTACTCAGGTTAGTACCTCTGCCAGTTTCTTTACCATTTCCTCTCACACATTTTGTTGTCACCTCTGGTTCAAAGGTTTTTTATTTCCTCTTGCCAGTGCCTCCTGTTTCAGTCACTTTAGGCAAGTCAGGTCAACCTGAGTTGCCTACAGCAGCCTATCATTCTGGTCTGTTCATTCCACCCAGCTTTGACAAGGTTTTTCTCCAGGTCCTCTCACCCCAAATTAGTCTTTACCTTGAAGATAATATTCTTTGTGATTTTATAAGCTGGGGTTTTTCTTTCACTCATTCAACTAGATCTAGCTCTTGCTGGGGTTCTCTTCATTTACCAGTTTGATGGCCTTCTTTTCTAGGTACATGTGCTCCTACTTTTACACATACAAACCTGGACAGTGCTATCATAGAAACGCCTTACACACCAGGCTTTGATGTGCTGTATAGAATAGTGCAAGCCATTCAAAAGATGATTTTCAAAGTTTATTGTTTACTTAAACAATTCTCATGTCCTGGAAACTTGGTGGTTTAACATCACTTTGCTGGTTTAGATTTAGAATTTATATTTCTCACAATATATCTCATGTATAACAAATATAACTGAAATAATAACAGATTTACTATTTTTATGATCAGTTTATGTTCCCATGTGATTCTAATAAGAACCACCCAGGTTGGGAAAGAAGCCATGAAGTTTTAGAATGTCTGTACTCTAATCCTAATCCTACATTGCAGAGCAAAATCCATCTATATGAAAATATCATATGGAAACCAGAGACCTTTAAATTTTTACTGCTGCTGTCCCAAATGGAGGTACGTATGTGAACACTGCTGAGCTCAGAATTATGGTCCATGACCAGAAGTAACATATGCGGTGCCAGAGGACCTTGTCCATTACAGAGGCAGTTTTAACATATTTATGCTTTACTCAAATGTATGGCTAATGATGATTCCCGAGGATTGCACTGGCACTCAGGGATTGCTGGGAAGCAAACTCTTTTATTTTAGCCAAATTATCTCCAGCAGAGAAACAGTGAAGAAGGATATTTTATTGGTCCTGTGCTCCTCATCATTTCTCCCAAGCATTTTTATTTTACAGATCCTATTGTGTTTCTGGTAACTTGCTCTTGTGGATTGCTACAAAAAGGGCTCTGTATAACTTGGAGTCTGGCATAAAAGTTTTCTTTTTAGAGTTTTAGCATTCTTTAAAGACATGCTAATTATTTCTATATTACCGTTTAACAGCTTTTTTGGACTTGTTGCACTGCGTTAGATAAGCAGTCTTACATAAAAGAGTGTCTAAAACGTAGTTTATGTAATAGAATATGTTGATGGTCTAAAAGAATCTGTTTCCAAAATATGTTCAAAGAAAATCCTTATTTAGTATGAAACCAGAAATAAAACTGAAGCATTGGATGCAATTAGTAAATTCACTGAAGTGGCCACAGACACACTTTTATATCTGTGAGTCTAAAATGACTGCAGGGAAAAATCATTTTCTCTCTTAAAAGCTAGACAGAAAAAAGGAGTTGAAAAATGTAAAAATGGTTTCTGTAGCATAAAAGCTGAAAGACAAATCTACAAATGGGATCAATCTGCCTCACTCCTACTGCCTTAATCCAGCACCTCAAGAATCAATGTCTCAAGTCAATCCTTTCAGATGAGGTGCTGATTGAGTTCCAGGCACTTCCAGTGGTAGGAGGAAGGTTGCTTTTGAAAATAAAGGGCAAATATCCTCAGAGGAGTAGCTTTGTTTTATGCAAAATGTTAAGAAAGCCATTTTATGCCACAGCAGAATGTGGAGGACTGGATGTCTGTTTGTGGTGCAGGACAGAGCTCAACATCATAGTCTCCTTTGCCAAATCTTCCTGCCTTTAGTCATGCAAAATTGTTGATGATTTCATGAGAGAATTGTGAATGAAGAGCAGAGTTGAGCAGTGTGTCTCTGTTCTCTGTCCTGTCATTTCTGGTTAATCTGACTCTCTCATAAAGGAAACATTACAGAATACTAATTTTTAGAGATCCAGTGGGGATATTATTAA